GGTTTTTTGTGAACCATGGTTTATGCCGGTTAGCATTGATTGATAATGTTGGAATGTATTTATCTGTTAAATATGCTATTTTTTCTTTGTAAAGCGACCAGTTTTCATGAATGTCGTGCTCCTGAAATGTTGCTTCGTATTCCTCGTAATTTGTTCAAGTTCGTTATTGATCACTAAGTAATTTCCTTCATTATAGAGACGGATGATTTTTTTATGTGACTGACACACGGGCTGGGTTAGAGAAAAGTGGCATGAATTATTGTGTGGTCCCTTATTTCTTTAAGGTAGGTGATGAAAGATAGTGTTTCAGGGCTTGAAGACAATACTAGATCAAGGATGTTAGCACTATCCAGCGGGACAGGTGTTGGCTCAGTTACCATTTGAGTGAGGTTGAAGTTTAAGCAGACGTTTACGATTTCTTTAGATTCCAGATTTCCAGTACTTAGTGGAGGGTTTGACCAAACAATGTTGGGGTAATTGAAATCTCCGAAAAGTAGAAGGAGCGCGTTCAGGTACTTTTTGTCTAGCTGGCTTAAGATGTTTAATTTCGTAGAAAAATCTGAAGAATTGTTTGGGGGGCGAAAGCACACACCAACGAGAGCAAGTTGTGGCTTGAAACGACATAGGATCCATAGAATTTTCAGGTCGGAACGTATCTCAATGGTGTAAAATGAAAGTTCTTTCTTAATGGCAACGAGGACACCACCACCTCTGCTTCCCTCCCGATCTTTGCACATTAGTTCGAAATTTGGCAGGTCGTCCAGTATTTCCGCATCAAGAACGTCGGCATTAAGCCACGTTTCTGTTAATATGAGCAGGTTACTTCCAGATGATGAAACAAGGTTTCATATCGCGTCTCGTTTTCAAAGAATGCTTCGTATGTTAGTGTAGATACCGAAAAAGACGTATGCGCACGAGCAGCACGCGTAGCGTGGCAGGGCGTTTTAGTACGGCGTGATAGCTATGTTAGTTCCTCGACACTTTGAGATGACTCATTGAAGACATATCGCTTCGAGTTGACGTGCAGAGTTTTATAACGGAGCAAGTAAGGGACAGATTGGTTTTTTGCAAAAGCAGTGAGATGCTTTCGCGCGTTTTGCACTTGCCAGAAGAAGTCTTCGCTAATGCCGAAAGGAGTGCCCTTTAATTTACGGCCGTTGGATAGTATCGCTTCCTTGGTTTTATAAAGATTGAATTTTACAATAATTGGTCGGTTTCGACTTTGAGTGTGTCTATCCAGTCGATGTGCTCGCTCAATTATTTGCGGATCTAATGTGAAGTTAAGGTGTTCAGCACAGTGGCGAATAATTATTTCTTCGGAGCACACGAATGATTCTTTAGGGTCAGTATTAGGAATGCCGTGGAACAACAACTTGTTACGCCTTGAATGGTTTTCAGCTTCGTCAAGGCGGTTTCCCAATCTTAGAGTTCGACAAGCCGAGACAACTATGTCCAATTGCATCAATTCCAGCTGCTCCCGCATGGGTTCAATACGATGGCAGCTCGTCTCCGCACAAGCCAAACGTGTGCTTAGGTCAGAAATGGCAGCGCTGTTTACAAGGAGTTGAGTTTTGATGTCCTGTATTTCTGTTAGTAACTTGGACTGTCCAGCAGACAGCTTTTTCAGCTCGATAAGAATGCTTGCTGTGTCTTGTCTTGGGTTAGTTTCTATATCTCCCGCAAGCAATAATATATTGCGGAAAACAGCAATACAACTGCAACAGATACACATCAACACTGCGGGCTTGGCAGCTGTACCAACAAGTAGTTACTGTTTTTTTTTAAGTATAATTGATACGATGGACCAACCTGCATGGCGAAGCGGAGCGGATTAGTGGTTGCTAATGTGGCACAGCCACTAAGCCCACAGGGCGGCGCAGATCCATGTGGCTGCTTTATAGGCGACACTGTGAAGGTTGTCGTTGGCGATGGGGCCAGCCAAGGTAGATTGATGACCAGCGGGTGTGGGTGCGATAGTGGAAAGACTGTTGATATGTTGCCTCCTGGCAGCTCCCACAGATACGCGGCACGAGCACCACCGGCACAGAGATTTGGTGGATGAGATGGTACCACGCACGCTGAAACAGCATCCAGGCCAAGAACAAACACTAGCAGGAGGGAAGCTCGAATGGAAGCCTGCATGCCGAAGCGGGGTGGATTAGTGGGTGCTAATGTGGCACAGCCACCAAGCCCACCCGGTAAACCGTAGGTCACTGGGGCAGAACCATAGGTACACGGCAGCTAGAAGTATAGCCTTTTTGCTGAAGCAGGAAGCGTCTGAAAAATACCAGAGTGTCTATTGCAGGCCTGTTTGGACTTTCATGAAGTAAGTCATGAAGTAAATTGTGAAGTAAATCTGATGCGGCTCGCCGAAGAGGCTCGAAGAGACGTCACCAAGACGTCACTCTACACTTGGGTGCTGAAGCCGAGGCTGCTCAGCTAGGACTTTGACCGGTGGTTTGTCCGAGTCTGTGGTGAATTTGACCGGTGTTAATTTCTGAGCGGTATTGATTACTATCGTGTAGACGATTGCAACCATGCCAATGACTAACTCGTCTCCTGGCCAAGGGCTGCCTATTTGCCTAATGATGAAGGGCCATTGGAATACTTTTTTCGCAATTGTGTTAACAACTGCGAAAAACGCCTGTTCTAAGGCTGTTCAGAATACCAGTTCCCGTACACCTACAATGTCTCCACTTAATTTGGGTACCAGGACACAATGGTTTGTTTTTAAACGAAAGCGCTGATTTTTCAGCAAAGGCGGTGCTTTTGATGCCAAGGATTCTTGTTTTCTCACTGACGACATACATTACAATCGCAAGATTCCGCACCTTAACTCTCAAAAAAATGCTTATTAGAACCTGTCTTGACAGCTTCGCCACAATATAAGCACCTATTATTTCCCTGGAACAGTGAGTTATCGCGGTTGAAAATAATGAAAGTGGCCATAACCAAACTTCGCGGCCGGGTTACCTCCCTCAACTTTTACCTGCATAGAGCAAGTCAAGCGTTGTCTCCTCTGTGTATCTGCTGTAAGCAGGAGGAAACAATCAGTCATTACTTTCTATCCTGTTACCGCTTTACGTCATTCAGAAGATTCATAGCACCACCTTTTCGAAACTTGGGTCTGGAAATATCCGAATCAGTTTTTCTATTATACGGCGCCTCTACTCTGGGCTACAGTCACAGCAATGTTCACTACGTCATAGAGGAATTTATCAGTCAGACTAAAAAATATAAAGCTAAATTCTCCATTCTAATAAACAAATAAATACTATGATTCAGTAATTATTTGTTGTGTAACCAATCCGTAGAACATATGAGTAGTATTGCGAAGAAAGAAAAAAAAAATCACCTAACACTCGGCCAATCTACTGCATTGAGCCATGAAATGAGGAGAATAACGAGAAGAAGAAGAGGCTCGATTGGTGGTTTCGATGTTGAATATATAAAAAAAATCTTACTGAACTAAGTCATCGTTTCTTAGCCGATCCCCCTGAGTGGGTACGAGCCATGACTGTGGAATCATCATTATCATCATCATCATCATTGCGCGCACACCTCAGTTGTTTCCGCTGTTTCGCCAGTGAAATAATTTATGCCGATGAGAATGAGGTGGTCCGTGGCCTGCACACTTTCGCCTTCGACACAGCAGCGTTATCCGATGACACAATCAAGAAACTTCAGCACAGCACCAAGTGGAAGTCCCGGGGTGACCCTGACGTAGCCATCTTTGTTTTTTCCACCAGTGTTGCCAGCAAACGAATTTACATTTCCCAGAAAAACATTATATTAAGAGCACGTGCTGTTTACTTGTGAATGTCATGATCATTCAAAAGTTAGGTTTTTTATCAGTCATGAAAGCACTGATATAACATAAAAGCACTGGACATAACTTAATTAGTTGGAGCAATACCGGAGCCTAACTGCTTTAGGTTTTACGGAGTTATGAATGGCGTCATTTTTTGCGGTGTCATGGAAGGAAAAAAAAATAACATAACTTTTTCCACGGTGATGCTTAGGTACAAAGCTCCCCCCACCCCCGGGAAACCTTCCAAAAAGCAGTTACGATGTCGTTCCTTCTCATGCCAGTTTTCATTCTTTCCAGCACCTTGGTCACCCTAGGAAACAAAAAAAAAGGGGGGGGGGGAGGGGAGCCTTGTACTTATTCTTCAGTTTTTTTTTTCTTTTGAAACGCGTGAGCTCCGCGTGTCGGATTTTGAATGGCGCATATTTTAAAGCTTTCGGCAAACCGACAGAGATGACGCTATCGTTTGGGCTTCAATGGGACATGTTACGCTTGCTTTATTCCGACTGCCGTCGTCATCAAGGTGTGCTAGACGGTAGACTCGAGATGTACTTATAGATATATAAGTATATGCTATTTCTACTATGTTGACAGTACAGGAGAGCGCGTTGTATGAGTACAATAAGGACTATAGAAATAAAGTGTTGGTCTTGCACAGAAAGTGACCAGTAGACGCTTACTACATGGTGGACTGTGGTCACTTCAGATGACTCCTTCATATCTTCTGAACAAAAAAATTGGCTATTTCTTGTTTCATGCGAAAAAAATTATGTTCTGCAAACATTTCAACATTTTTCAATAAAAATCCCGCCAAAAATGGAAGTCTGCATTGTTGGGGTTCTAGGTCACCAAAGCATGATATGATTAAGAAAGACGCTCCGGAAATTTCCACCCCCTTAAGTTCTGTAACGCATACGGCCAGTGTTTGATCAGTGGTCGGCAGTCAAGTGCCGTAACCAGCGCTCTCTTGACTTCATGTTTTTCCGATTTCATTGAAACATGGACGCGGCTCAATAAACGCCATTAAGTTGACCACGTACGTATTTGAGGTCTTGATAAAACGAGAAATATGCTGCTAGACTAGCGCTTGGAAGCGCTCGCAGCAGACGACATCCAAAACAAGTTTCTTTGTGATCACGTGGCAGCAGACATCCGGCTTTCTCGTGTACGTCATTTCCCACGCGACGCGTCCGTACGGCAACCGCGGCAAGCACAGGGCCGCCGGAGCAGCGCACCGAAGCGCGAGCGGTAGTGGAAGCGTCTTCTCAGGTGTGCGTCGGTGGTTGGCGCGCAGCAATTCGGTGTGGTAAGCTCAATTTTGACTGTTTGCATGTGGCTGCACCAAGAGCACATCGGAAACTTTCGGCATGCGCAACATGTTCGAGGATCTTATTTCCACCCGTACGATGTGCACAGCGGTGGCTAAGAGCGCTTTTCGTGCGTCGTTCAAAAAAACAGGTTTCTCCCGAAGCGTTGTTCCGGGCGGGGCGCGTAGTGCGAGCCTTCCCATCGAGTTGGGAGCGTGAAGCTTACAGCGAACTTCAGACGCTTCTCGGCAGCATTATTTTGAACTTTCCTAGGGCATACTAGGCTGGGCGTTGTCGTAGACGTCGAGGAAGTTTCAGGTCATCGGCGAGAGGACCTTGTTTGGAGTAGGCCATGCGCGTGTGATCACCGCAGCACCTGGCGTCGTCCAGCGATCGCATTGGCCCGTGGCTAATTGCCTGCTATGTATCGAGCTGGGGACTCCGCATCCATTCTGAATGAGGTTACGCACCGCACGCCGCGCGGTCGGAGGGCACTTATTACGATACGGTACTGGCTACGATCGTTGGCCCGCGTCTCCTGTAGCACTGCGTGCAACTCCAATTGGAACGCTCACAGTATTCTGAGCATGGCCTCCTAGCTATCTTTAGAGAATGTAGCAATTAAGGGGTACGCGGACTTTTTATACTGTGCGTGGTGGACAGCCAGAGCTCGATTGCGATCGACCTGAGCTTTTTGCCGTCATTTACCGATATGTTTAGGTTGTAGTGGGTAATCGTTTCCACTTTTCGAGAATCTCGACGCTTGAAGGAGCCTGTCTCGCCGAAAAAGTGGTGCCGCCGTCGGAGGCATTGTGAATGGGTTAAAAATGTTGATAGAAGTAAATAATACAAATCACGGCTCTATTCTGCATGGCAGTCAAGTATTCTACCACAGAGGCTCACCAGCGCTTCTGACTGGCTAAGAAACGCCGTAGGCCAGCGTCATGTTGGGACTAGGACCAAGAATGGCAGCAGGGCGGGTATCTCTTCTTATTGCAATGAAATGAGCATTAACGTATGCACACGCCTGTGACTCCTTGTGATATGGACCAACACGGCGAGTTTGTGCGTTTGCATATTAGGTTGACTGTGCAGCACAGTACAGAGGAGGGTGAAAAATTCCATGACACGAGTGCCGACTCACCACTGGGAGTTTATTGCGTTCACAATCAAAATATATATTAAGGCCACACAGTTCATGCTGGAGAGACACAATAATAATGGATACAAACCATTTAGTTTGCATGCGATTGAAGCTGACTGACATTCGAAGGGGAATCTACATGCATATGATATGCCTTGACCATCTCTCAGCTTCATTGATTGTCAACAACAATTAAGGGTTTGTGAACAATAAATCACTAAGCATCTGCAATGTGCATCTGTAATAAAACATTTGCATTGTGCAGCCAAATTACAGTTAGTGGAAATTCTGACAGTGCACTCTGATATCAGTGAACATTTAAAGCGACCGGCAACTTCCTAAGCATGAAATGAGATGACTGCACAGATGGAAAGATTGTCCCTCATAGTAACTCAAACGAAGCTCATTTTTATCGTAAAAAGTGGAGGTATATTTTTATTAGATGCGAAGCATTTGTAAGCGTACTTCGGGGACTTTGAGCATATTTGTCCATTTATCTAGCCGCCTATAACTTTTAGCTCTGCTGGCGGTTTCGACAATGGGATCTATACCAAAATTTTTATGGCATAACATGACTCTATGACGAGCATAAGTGACTAGTCATTTCATGAAAATCATGAAACATATGTCATGAATATCATGATTTACATGTCATGATCTTGCTGCTCTGGCTGTGGTTTCGTTCACATGACATGTTGCAAAACTGGTATGGTATGACATGACTGCATGGTGAACCTAAGCGGCAGGCTCCAACGTGGAAATCGTGACATAAGTAATGACTACACGCCATACGCTCGTGGTGCGTTTGTGTTCATTTCGCTAGCTTCACATGTACCAAATTTTGTATTGTGTGACGCAAACGGACGAGAAAGGAAAATTAAACCTCCTAACGTGATAATCATGACATGCGTGTCATGTAAAACATGAATACATGCTACGCTCATAGTGCACTCGCGGCCGTTTCGCTAACTTCACATACACCATTTTCCGTGTTACATGACGTGAATAGACGACGAAGGCATATGACCAGTGCAACATGAAAATTATGACATTCGTGTCATGCAAGAGCATGACTATATACCACACTCATGACGCGCTCATGGCCGTTTTGCTTGCTTGACATATACCAAATTTGGTATTACGTGATGTGAATGGATGACAATGGTAAGTGACACATCCAAACATGATAATCATAATACATGTGTAGCATGTGTCATGTAAAACATTGACCACATGCTATGCTCATAGCGCGCTCACGGCCGTTTTGCTAGCCTCACATGTACCAAGTTTGGTATTACAGGAGTTGAATGGATGACGAGCACAAATGCCAGGTGCAAACATGATAATCATGATGTGGAAGTCATGTACCGTATAATTTACATGCCTGCTACTTCAGGGGCTGGTATTGGAAACCTTAGTGGCACCATCGTTACGCGACTATAAACAACCTACTTGCACCTCATCCGGATACCTGAGTGTGCATAACATTGTGGTAATTTTAAAGTAACGTATCAACCTGCTTCAATCGTGCTTCGCATATAATCGATTCCCACTGTACGTGGGATTTGCGAATTTTTTTCTTCATTAAAAATTGCTAAAACAGCCTGTGACGGCACCTGGCGGCAGAAACTTCGATTACCCAACGTGCCTTGTCATGTGACCGTGAACTAGTGTACGCGGTGAAAAATTTTCCTTTTAGTATTGAAATATTATTTGCTTATTTATAGTAAAAGATATTACTCCATAAAAATGTACATATATGCGTGTGTTAGTAGTACGCATTAAAGTGGCACTGCCTTTGCATAACGTAATCATCCCATGTTCGTCAGCACGTCTTGAGCAACTTTCTGCGTGCTCATGAAACCATGCACGTGGCTTCAGGGTTGCTGAAATTTGAGAGTGACATGATTTTTCTATTTACAATTTGTCTCAGAAATTACGTGCACTACTAGTCGGCACAGCCGCGCATAATCGCAGTGACATTGACATGGTTTGGCTCGTGTGTGAAGAAAGTAACGACAAAGGGACACGCCATTCACGACACAGGCATAACAACCTCGGGCGCAGGTGCACGCGACGCGGTAACAATGCAGGGAAGCTGTGTAAAGCCCCATCAGTCTCATTGTAGCGGCTTGTTCTTTTCAAAAATAGTTGTAAAGCTTAGAATAAATGTGGTTAAGCATAGGTACAGGAACTCCTACGAAGGCAGAACGACAGAATGCGCAATTCACCAAAAAGGCTTGATTGATTGATATGTGGGGTTTAACCCCCAAAACCGCCATATGATTATGAGAGACTCCGTAGTGGAGGGCTCCGGATATTTTGACCAACTGGGGTTCTTTAACGTGCACCGAAATCTAAGCACATGGGCCTACAACATTTCCGCCTCCATAAGAAATGCAGCTGCCACAGCCGGGATTCGATCCCGCGACCTGCGGTTGAGCGGCCCGAGTACCTTAGCCACTAGACCACCGCGGTCACCAGAAAAGCTACTGGCGTCGCTATCATTTCTCAGAGTTGCTGGATGAAAGGGCTCATCCGTGTTCGGAGTCTTTCAGATCGAGAAATACTGCTTATAAAATAAGTACATGCTTTTGGGATTAACTGCGGCAGCTACGAACACTACGAAGGGTAATCTTTAGACCGCTTGAAAAAAAGCTGGGTCGAAAAAAATTCGTTGTCGCTTCCTCTAAGTGACCGGTCTCTCCACAATGCCACAAGGTATGTATACTTTAATTCTGCACAAAATAAACTTGCAACTGTGAGTCAGTGCTCATGTTCTATTTTCTCGTCTCTGGTCTTAGCCATGCTGCAAGTTCAATCTAATATATTAGCGAGAGTTAGAATTGAGTATGTAAAGTTAGCATTCAATATGGTCACACGCTGTTTCTGTCACTTTCCGGGGGTCCGCAAGAGGATAGTGCACGGCACATGCGCTGAAGAGGCAAATGCTATCGCAAAGCTTTTTGGTTGCTATTCTAATACTGTCTATCATGGTATGCATGTAACTGCACCATAGCTCATACATTGAAATTAGTCAGTCAGAACAAAATAAAAAAAACAATATTTTTTATTTGAGAAGCAGAGACTGCGGGTTGAGTTGGTGATTCATCTTAACTTAGTTGCGCGAAAAAATTGAAATACAAAAGGAAGTACGAAGGAAGGTGTGCTGTGTCCAAGTGTCTTCCTTTTGTACTTCAATTTTTTTGTGCAACTCAGTTACGATAAGATATCTTTTACTGGAATGAAAGTGTAAACGTAACAGTTATCTATTATTTCGTTCCTGAGTGAAACCAACGTTTATATTGTTTTTCGGTTGGGGGAAAAACTTGGCAATCAGTAACAAGTAAGGTCATGCAACATGAGTAAAATGCATATCTTAGGGGCCAGTATTACCATGCACCTCAGGCAGCAATTCTGTAGTAAACATGTCCTAGTAATATATTGAGAAACACAAAAAGACTGGTGACCAGAGATGTTCACATTAACACAAGTGGACTATTGTGTGCCTGTCACACAGGCTGGCATGGAGACTGCATTCTCAATGCTGAAGCTTGGTATTGCTTGTAATTGTTTATTTTTGTTGTTATAGCACATACAAAAAAAACGCGGTTATATAATACATACATCATCAGTAGTTCCGAAGGCGAGAAACTGTTGCAAACTTATTTTGTAAGAGCAGCAGTCCCGCATATCATAGGTGCACTCATAGGCAGCAGCTTCTGATATCATGCTCACTCCTTACACAAAGCATTAAGCCAGCTTAAAAAAATCGTAATTCACTTTATGAAAATAAATACCACAGTTTAGAAGTGTACGAATTTGCACTAGTTGGTTGTGTGGGATGCCATGTCG